GCTGAGCAGGGAGCCCGATGTGGGACTCCATCCCAGGACCCTGGGATCATGACCTGAGCTGAAGGCAGACGCTTAACCGACTGAGCCACCCAGGCGTCCCTACATAAGCTATTCTTAATTAGCTTGTCCAGACTTCATATTCTTGCCTCATACCCATTAAACCTTCCATTCTTTAGGCCTAACTCCATCCCTGTTCCTCTCATGAGGCCGAATCTTATCCCTCAGTTTGAGGTATGTGCTCCTTCTAGTGAAGTGTCCAGCATGGGCTTTTTGGGTGCTAGGGTCCACCAAGTCGTTATTTATGCTCTTACCTTGTTTCCCCTGCTCAGCTCAAAGCTCCAGGAGATCAAGGGCTATATCTTTCTCACCCTCCATCTCCCTGGCACCTAGAAGTAGTAGCACATATCTGGGTGGTCAGGATGTGCTGAATGAGTGAAAGAAAGTACTTACAATGTACTTCCTTTCATATACGTAAAAGGTATTTCTTCAAGTAAAAAACCCAATTATTCGAGCAAGCGGAAATCTGAAGTTCTGTGTGCCCCAATGAGACTCTAAGTTCTCTGAATGTAGGTGCTGGACTCCTATTTCTTTACAGTACTCAGGGCACCTGGAATGATGGTTGGCCAACAGGAAGTGCTCAGCGAGCACTTCTGGCTCAAGAGTAGAAATGTGAACTGAGAAGATCCAAAGGAATGACCTACAACTATGTATTTATTAGAGTAGCCTGAAAAGAGGGCTGGACTTCACTGCTGAGAGTGGTGGTCTCTGAGGGGAAGTGTGCATACCTCAACATGGTCCACTGGGTCTGAGAAGAAAATTAGAGAATTTTTATATATCTTTATTTTTTTCCACTGAAAAGAGAATTAGGCTTGGTTGAGTCCTATATAGATGGCTACAGGCCCTTCATTTGATCTGTATGGCACACATGAGGGGGAGGGCACTGTCACCCTCACTGGTTTGTTTTCAGTTGGTACATTGAGAAAATAATCTCAAGCCATTTACTATATACCTGTAGATTCATGAATTGTTTTAAGTGGCTTAACCCCCACAGAATGGACAAGTGGCTTAAAAAATTCTTGTAGGGAAACAGGAATCGAAGCTATTACTAATAATGTCAGGACACAGTGAACATCAGGAAAATGACAGAAGTGACCCTTCTGCCAGTCTAGCATGCCATCTTGGTCAGCCAGGTGGCAAGGTAAAACACAGTGGTGGTCTAACCACATCTGACAAGGGTATGTTCAAAATGTTTTGAAATAGTCAGGAACAGGGGCGCTTGGGTGGCTCAGTCAGTTAAGCATCTGCCTTCAGCTCAGGTCATGATTCTAGGGTCCTGGGATCGAGTCCTGCATTGGGCTCCCCGCTCGGGGGGGGGTGTGTCTATTTCTCCCTCTGCTGCTCCCCTTGCTCGTGCTCTCTCTCTCTCCCAAATAATAATAATAATAATAAAAGAAATAGGAACATTCTATGAATGGGTTAGAGTGCCATGCAAATGAGAGTTGGTTGTTCTTAATGGGCCAGATACCATCATCATGTCACATGGATCTTACATGGCTGGATGACCCAATAGCCATCTCAGGAGTGTGTGTTATGAGTCACCATGGTAATGGCACAACTGGGAGGGGATGGGTCATTAAAAATTCATCATCACTATTGAGTTAGAAATTAGATCACACATCCTTCTTAGGTCAGGGCATCTTTTACTTAAAGAGAAAGGCAACAGTTAACAAAATGTAAGGGATTTTTAAAAAATATCTGTTACGGGCACTACATGAGTGTATGGGCTTGTTCATATGTTTGGAAGTTAATGACAATAAAAAGTCTGGAATTTACTCTTTATTAAGGGTGTCGTTATTTATTTTAACCTCACAGTAAACCTATAAGGTAGGGATCATCCTTGTTGTATGACAAAAAAAGATAAAATCAGCAAGCTTAAGTGACAAGTTCAAGCTCATGTAAGTATAGAACCAAAGTGCAAATCTAAATAATTGGTATTGGCCAATATATTGCTGTTCGTTCCCAAAAGTAAGAATTCATCTGCATTTTATGACGTCACCTAATAATTCCAGGGTATGGACAGTTTCTAGACAGAAAGGGCTAGGCAACAATGGATTCCATGCCCTGAGAGGGAAAGCAAAATGTTGACGCTGAGGCCTCGGGCTAGAATCTTCATTTCATCTATCTGTATTAAGTGGTGAAAAGCAAGCCAGTTTTGGTTGAGCTTATTGGCATTGTATCATCTTATGTCATTTCTCAAGTGCAAGTTCTACAGTTTTGTATAAGCAAGAAGTCCCTTCATGGAGCTTGGCCAGCAGTTTTCCCAAGGTGTTCTGCAGAGTATCAGGTATCAACCTAATTGTAATAAATGTGCATTTCTCTCTGCAAACAGGACCATTGCCAACTATTTGGTGTGGAGGATGGTTTATTCCAGAATTCCAAACCTTAGCAGGCGTTTTCAGTATAGGTGGCTCGAATTCTCACGGGTAAGTTTGAAGAAGATTGCAATGTTACATCATTGGATAACTTTACATGCCGGAACAGTCTGTATATTAACTAATCCAATAAAAATCATCTTTAGGGATGGGACAGAGGGAGTTTTGCAGCCCAAACTCTACTTTTTAAAAAAATTTATTCTTTTTATTAAGTGAAACCTTATGTACTGTAAACTACACTCAAGCTGTATTTGATGAGGCCATATAAAGATATTTGGGGCAGTATTTGGGACTATCATATTGTTTTCACTCCCTCTTATCGACTTATTCCCGTTTTCCCCAATGTTCTTAACTGGGTCACTGTAATTACAGTTTTAATGTATCTTAGTGATATATTTGTAATATTTGTAACTATTTTTCATTTTCAGTATTCTGAATATTCAAAATATGTCTAGTATACGTTTTAGATGGTAAAATTTCATCTTTAATTTAGGGATAGAATTTTGTCTTTAACTTTATCTTGACTTTCATTCAGTCTTTGAGATTATTCCAATTCTGCTAGGCCAAAGAGGCCTAAATCTAGTCTCCTCCGGGGAACCTGGCTCAACTGCCTGAAACACTTTGCTGCTTTCCCCCTCACCTGGTTCTTTGATTTTAGCTTCACTCCCTCACTTACACAGGTGTTATTTTGCCTTTGTTTCACAAGCTTTTATCTAAATAATTTTCCCATTAATAAGGACCTAATGATTTTCTGTTTGGTGTTTTTTTTTGCATTTTAAATATTTTGTGACTTTTAAAAGGTATTTTAAATTTATTTTTCTCTCAATTAGAAGCGAATGACACATTTTATAACAGTGCTTTCATTTAACAGATGTTTTGGTTACTAGAGAAACAGATGAGTATGGGAATTTTTGGTGGGTCATTACTGTTGAGCAGTAACAGTTATTTTGGATACATTTTGGCTCTCAAAGTCACTAGATGATTGAGTTTTATAGAGAACACTATAAAACAGCTATATTTATTGAGGTCATATCGAAGGGTTAAGTTACAAAAGTAGATTTTTTATATATATATCAAATATATATATGTGCATATGTATATATACATGTTATATTTATATTTTTATGTATGTGTGTATATTTTTAACTCTTGTGGATCACATAAAAGATAGTACCCAGCTGCTTTTCAATCCTACTTTGAAGAGAATAAGAGAGACTGGTGTAAGAAGTAGCGTGTGAAAATTGGAGGGTTAGGTATGAGGGGATGTTTCTTGAGTGTAAAGTGCTAAATATAACATCGAGTTGCCAAAGACAGTTGTAGGATCTCTTTCTCTAGAGATTTAAAAAATACATTGATTCCTTCCGTCTGTGAGGGGTTGAGTTGCCAGAAAGCAGGGGAAGGAAAAAGAGATGAATCTAAGTGTCAAGCCCATGTGTGCTGTGCCAGGAGCCTGGGTCTCCTGTGGGGCAAGCGGGTCTTCCACCATGCTCAGGGCCGCCCTGCCTTGCTGCTTGCCTTCGGTTTGCATTTTGAGCGCTGAACTTCCATCCTCCAAAATGCCTCCAAGGGCATTTTAAACACTATTTGTTCCTTTGCTTTCATCACCAAGAGTAAACCTTTGAGCCTTCCAAGTCCTGCTTTGGAACCTCCTTACTTGTTTGTAAGTGTTTTCTTGTAATGGCTTAACTGGGACAGATGGGAAAAACATTTTCATCTGTTTTTTACTTGGTTATGGGTGTGTCCTTTGCTACGATACCATGTAAATATGCTTCTTGGGTTGTTCCCGGTGGGCCATGTTGTCTTTGGACTTGTGAGTGTACTACCCAGAGTAAGGAAACCCTCGCTGGGCAGGAACTTTGATCATCCGTTGATACTAGACCTTTCCTAGTACAACTTCAGTTCCCAATAGATATTAAAGGCTATCTAGACACTTGGACGGGACAGCATCCACTCATTTCCCTGCTAACTACAGAAAAGCTGTGCCATTGTCCTAATCTTTCATTAAATGGGGAAAATTGAAAGGAAAGGATAAATACATTATTTTACCGTTAAAATATTTTCATTCAGTTTTAAGTCTAACTAGGAACAAGCAGAATTTATTTCTTCATCTGATTTCACTGTCAGCTCTACTATTGGACACATGTATATGGGTTGGGGTGTGCAATGTTTTGTAGTCTGTTTTCTTCAGGTTGTGTGAATTTTTTTTCAGCCATAGGTTTTATCCAAGTGAACCTCAATCTGGATCAATTATCTCCCACAGGTAATTCAGGGGACTACAACTTTGTTGCCTCAATGGGACAAATGTGTAAACTTTATCGAAAGCGCCCTCCCTTATGTTGTTGGGAAAATGTTTGTGGATGTGCACTTCCAGGAAGACAAGAAAGAGATGGTAAGTACTGCTTCCCAGCTGGTAAGAGCCATGGCCGTCTGCCAGGTCTGATGTGGGCGTGGCCAGCAGGCCCATAGCAGCCCTCCAGCTCTGGAAGCAATGAATCTAGATAGATAATTGTTCGACTTCAGAGAGGAATTCCTGCAGTACAATATTAACTACAAACTCAAACCTGGAATATAGTCATGAAAATTAAGACAAGTTAGAAGTGAGAAAAGAAGCATGAAATCATGTCAACCAGAGTCTGAATTTCTCCTGTAGAAGTTAAATGTGTAAAGTCGACGCTTAGGAACAAAGAGGGCCTAGATGATTTTAGGATTAGGTATTAGACTGTTGTAATTACAAAAGGTAGTGGTCTTCTAGTCGGGCCTCTTTGTTTTAGAGATGAGGAAGCTGGAGACCCAGAGATGAAGAGATTTGTAATACATTTAACAACTATTAAATGGTTTAGAAATAGAAATAAAATGCAGGGTTTTTTCCTACTTATGCTGTTTTCTGGAAACTTCAGAAGTGTGACATTTATTTCAGAGACAGTACTGTGTGTCTGTTTTTGTTGTTAACCTGAAAAGAAATCCTTTTATTTTGGAAATTCCTAAGCATATACAAAAATGGAATGAGCAGTGTAATGAGCTTTCCTGTACCTATGATCTGTAGTAATTTGTAGTTGCTGTAATGGCATTAATGGCCCAGCCAGATCCATCTGCTAATAAAACATGAGGTTTAGTTTCTTCATTTACTTAACAAATACTTGTTGAACACCTGTTATATGCCAGGCACTGTTCCAGGCACTTGGGACACAGCAGAGAACAGAAAAAAAGATCCCTGACCTCAATGACTTGACATTCTAAATGGTGGGGGGACATACAAGTATGTTGGAAGATGGTAAGGACCCTGGAGAAAAGAAAAAGGAGATCAGGGTAGAAAGGAATTGGGAGTGCTGTAAGGTGAGGGTGTGTGGGGCAGGTTATAGGATTAAATAGGGTGGTGAAGGAAAGCCTTACTGTGAGGATGACATTTGGCAAAGATTTGAAGGATGTGAGAGAATTAGACATGACAGCTATCTGGGGGAAGAGTGTTCCAGGCCGAAGGAATAGCTAGTGCAAAAAGTACTATGGCTGGGATGGTCCTGGAGCACTCAAGTAATAAAAGGGAGGTCCATGTGGCTGGAGCAGAGTAAGGGTAAGAAGTAGGTGCTGCAGTCAGAGCAGTAATAGGGATGATGGCATTTTGTAAGGCCTATGGGCCATTGTGGACTTTTAATCCTGAGTGCAGTGGGGAGCTAATGTAGGCTTTTGAGCGAAGGCCTGATGTGACCTGACTTATGTTGAAAGGATCTCCCTGCTGCTGGGTTGAGAAGAGACTGGAGGGAATCAAGGACAGAATCAGGGAGACTAATTAGAAGACTACTAAAAGAAAGGGGTGCCTGGGGGGCTCAGTTAAGTGTCCAACTCTTGATCTCAGCTCAGGTCTTGATCTCAGGGTTGTGAGTTCAAGCCCTGTGTTGGACTCCACGCTTGGATGTGGAGGCTACTTAAAAAAAAAAAAAAAGACCATTGGAGGGACCAGGTGAGAAATGATGGTAGCTTGGATCAGGTGGTAGCAGGGGAAGTTGTGAAAAGGGGTTTGATTCTGAAGTAGAACCAACATATTTTGCTGACAGATTCAGTGAGGGATCTGAGAGTGAGAGCTTTGAATCTTATTTCAGTGGAAGCATGAAGTTGCTGTTAACTGAGAAGAATTCTGTGGGAAACTAGATTTGGAATTGGGAGAGATCAGGAAGTTAGTTGTGACCATGTTGAACTTAAGAGGTTATCAGACTTCCAGTTGAAGATGTCAGGGAGGCAGTAGGGTATGAGTCTTGGCTTGAGGACAGAGGTTGGGGTTCAAGGTTGGAAGAGAGAAGAGAAGGTGTGAAACAGTTGTCCAGGGGAGTGGGAGAGTGAGTAAACTGAGGAAACATGGTTACCTGGAGACAGTAGTGGTGTAGATGAGGTTGGAGGTCATGAATTGAAAGACTCCTCACCTTCACAGTGTGTTCTTCTTCATTTGTTTCAGCTGCATTGGAGGAGAGGGTGTATTTTGAATTAGAAATTTGGATTTAGCCATGGTGGGGATTTTTTGGTGTGTATTTTCTTTGTGATGAATTATGGTTTACAAATGTCATGAAGCAAAATATCTAGGCACAATTAACTAATGTAAGGGAGGAAAAATAATTTCCCTCTAACCTTCTAGGTTCTTGAGATCCCACTGTGATAAAACAAAGATTAATGAGAGAAAAACAAACAAGTTTAATAAGGCACATACCTCCTGTATACAAGGGAGAGACCCAGGAAAACTGAGGAACTCCCAGAAATGGCCCAGGCCACCACCTTAATTACCATCCCCAGCTAAAGAAAAAGAAGATGAGAAGATGTGGGCACAGGGGTGGGCAGACCACTATTGGGAGGTTACCAGGAAAAGCACAGTAGACAAAAGGTAAGGTTATTATGCAGATTTAAGTCCATGATCTTCTCCATTGATCACAGTTTCTAGAGTTGAGAGTCATCCTCCTTTTCCTGATACAGGGAGGAAGATACCCTTACAGTGAGATTTCCCTCCTAAATGTTAATTTCTCTCACGAAAGGCTAACTTCAACTCTGTTTTGAGAGGGTCCCCTATGTCTGTAGCTTCTCAAATAGTCCCAAATAATCAGTATGTCCAAGAGGTATATTTTAGGTATATTTCACTAATAATGATCCATTGTAGTCATTCAGATAAGAATATATGAAAAAAAAATATATGAGCAGCTTGGATGCAGGTGCTCAACAAACACTGATTTTGACAAAGACAAACACGTAAAGTCTGTTACATCACGATAATTCAAATGGTTGGTATTATGTGCTGCTACATAGTATGAACTGTTTGGTATGTGTTAATACTGTTGGGGAGGAAGAATTTCCTATGCCCTCCAAGGTCCTTTTTTTTTTTTTTTTTTTAAAGATTTATTTTAGAGAGAGAGCATGTGCACACATGAGCAGGGGAAGGGGCAGAGGGAGAAGGAGAGAATCTCAAGCAGACTCCACACTGAGCAGGGAGCCGTATGACCCCGAGATCATGACCTGAGCCAAAATCAAGAGTCTGATGATTAACCAACTGAACCACCCAGGCTCCCTCAAGGTCTTTTTAGCTGGATAAAGAATCAAATTGGCATGAGACAGATCAACAGGACAAAACCAAGTTTAGCTTTGTGCATATGGAGAATCCACACAGACGTGAAATTTTAAAGACTGGCACCATGAGCCTTACGTGAGCTCCTGAGATCAGGAGAAGGGGAGGGTTGTGAGGACACAAAGGGGAGGAAGACCATTTGCAGGAAGGTGAGAGGAGATGTTTGGAAAACAAAGCTGGCCCTGCTGTGCACATAGATTACTTAGGTACAGAGGAATCTCTGTTAATAGCTCTCTTCCTCCGGCACAGGTGAGATCCTTTCCAAAGTAAATGTAGGCAGCTAAAGGGGGAGGTAAGGAACTTTTCCTGAATCTGCTGGGTTTTGTTTGCTTTTGACTCAAAATAATCTTGCCAATGTGGCCCATCTTGGGGCAGTTAGCCCTTGGCCTCTACAGTAGGTAACACGTAACTATGTATTTGCTGAAGTTTGCCTTGGAATACCTTAAATCTAAGTATATTTACCTGGATTTTTGTTGTTGTTGTTTTGATACTTTGGGGACTATATTTGAACCTGCAGGTCCCCTTCTTGCAAATAATTCCACTGGAGAATTAATGTCTTATTTCAGAATGCTCGATATTCCCATTGTGTGTTTTCTTTCACTCTTTGCTTAGAGTAAATGGATTGAGAATTTATCAGATAATCACAGTGGTAACATTATGAGCTTTGGGAAGGATATAAAAACAACTAAGGCATAACAGGGTTTTTTGTTTTTCATTTTTTTTTTTTTTGGCAGAAGGATTTTAAGTAATATGAAAGGTATGTGGATTAATTTGTTTTCCTCAGTTTTGGTGTGAAAGTCCCCTTTTCATGTGTTAGGGTGTAATATTCTAAAAGTTGATTTTGGCAATTTTCCCCCTTATTTTGATATACATGGGACTTGGAGGTAGTGGGATAGTTACACAGATACTCATCTATTTTACATAAAATTGTTTTCCTCCCTTAAGCCGAAGCTATTTGCCTCAGGGAATACTTAAGTTGGAAACTTATAAAAGAAATATCTGGCTTTTTATAGCCTTGTTACAGGGCTCTCATCCAAGAACCACCTGGAACCACTGATTTACTTGAAAAACATTCTGTATTATTAACTACAGCCCAAAGAAAAAGAAAACCAGAAAGATCCCCAGTGGGACAAATTCCAGAGACTCTAACTCCGAAGGAAGGCTGCCATTGTTTTATTTACAAAAAAGATTGCTAAGCAGATGAATAGATTCAGAGGGTAAAATTTCAGGTACTTGTCAAACTTTAATGTGTACACAAATCAAATGAGGATCTTCTTGTAAAAATACAAAATCTCATTGCATTTTACCCAGGATCTTTTTAACTTAGGTCTGGTTTAGGACCCAAGAACTTGCATAACAAGTTCCCAAGTGGTGCTGATGCTGCTGGTCCAGGGACCGCACTTGGAGTAGCAAGGCCTATGCGTCATTCATTTGCTTGCAAACGGTTGCCACCAGAATCCCAACCCTGGCGATTCATGTGAGCAGGGTAGGCTGTTGACTCAGACATCAGTACTTTGTTTACCAAAGCCTGTTGCATTAGTGCAAATAACTGCTTCAGTTTTTCAAATCATTGAAAATTTCCTTGTTCCAGTTGGTTTAAATGGACTTTGTCAAACCCTCTGTGGGGGCCTCCAGACTTCTTGTTTGTTTTTTTCCCCCACAAACTGATTAGTTTTCCTTTGACAACTGGTACTGAGGTTCTTCCAAGGGACTTCCTGCTTCTCCTCAATATCTGTTTCTGTGGTCTCTCAATGGATTTGGCCCAACTCCCTCTGTTCGGCATCCTTTGTTAT